AAAAAACAGGCAAGTTAACTCAAGTGATAAAATATAATCCCAGTGCGATCGTTAACTTGCATGTTTTTGGGACATGTTTCTTGATTCTTTTGAAGCACAAAGGGACTCAAAATTTAAAAACAAAGTAGTTACAGTGAGCACTCAAATAGATTTTTCATTCATCCCTATCCTCAATTGTTAATACCTCGTGGATTTAAAACCAACAGTATCCTGCACATTAATATCAACCACTTGTATGTTTATCTTTTTGATTACATTTTGTTATTTCCCGTAAATTCTAAAGAGGGTAGGCAACATTATATACAATGTTCTGTGTCACATTTTCTCTAGAAGGTTATAGAGAACCAGCAGCCTATAAAAGTAAGCTTATACAGGCAGAAGGTAAACTCCATGGATAACGGAATGGAAATGCAGCCTGGATTCAGGCTGGAAATGTTTGTAAGAAAAAACATTCAAAGAAAGCATTTGTTACTCCAGTTTTCATCCTGCTCACACATTAGCATTACACGCATCGCAGTCACGTGTCTGTGGCAAGAGACTGATGCATCCCTAACTCAAACAATCAAAATCACTGAGCACAACTGCACAGCAAATACTTGCTGTACCTGCTTCTCTAGGTCCCTAAACTTCTCTCTCTCTGCATTGTAGAGCAAGGCTCACTACCTTCTGCCTCCCAGTCTTCCCAGGATATTGTGCTAACATTCATTTTCTGCTCCTGATACTTGTGACATCCCTTTAGCTTTTAAGTAGCACTAGGTAGGAGTTTAAACAGGTGGCTCTGAGAACAATAACTGAAATGGATAGAATTCACGTAGTCTCTGAGTTGTGAAGATCCAGCCTCAGCATTTCAGCAAAAACAGTCAGAGCAATATTAAACAGGAATGCTGGGCTCCATACAGTCATTAATAGCAGGAGACATCCACGAGGCACAATGAACTCTCCCTAAGCCAAATAGAATATTTTGCCACTCCACTTCACTACATCACCCCAAAAAGAAGCGTGTTTTAAGTATTTTCAGTGTGATTAGTTTTGACAAGCAAAATACTAGGATCAATTTTGGGTTCTTATCAATTTTGCAGATAGTTTAAAAAGCAAGGAATTAACGTAATGATTTCAAACTAATAGAAGAGATAAGACTACATGCAGGGTTTTAAACTGATGGTTTTGGAATGAGAACCAGTCAATTTGCCAACTAAGTTGCACAGTCCTTTACAGTATACATCTGAGCCTCAAGCACTACCTATACTGCTACAGGGAAAAAGAAATAAAACATATAAAACATAATGGAAATTGCAGTAAATACACAGAAAATAGAAGAATGGTGAAAAATACACTAAAGAACATCAAAAGGAAACATGAAGGGGAAGACAGGTAATATCAGTGACTTAACAGGAAAAATTTTGAGCAGTTGCTCCAAGTGGTGTCCACTGAGAGTTGCTATTCACTTTGTGCTGGCTCTCCTTGTTTCCAGCTGTTAAGTTCACATTGAAAGAAGCTAAAAATACATTAAATACTTTCCAAATATTATTTTCCCACGTAAGCAATTGGTATAAGTTGCCACAGAGATGTTGTTCTCTTGCCAGTGAGAAGGGAAACAGTATACAATGCTGACAATAGAAGTTGTATTCTATGACATCTATTGTCTTGGACAAGAGGCAGTCCAAAATATGGGAAAGTTTGAAAAGGCATTATTTTAGCTACAAGATTTCCCAACTATTCCCTGCTTTCCGCAAGGCCATATATGAAAATGATACTTAAATATTAAGTTTTTATCGCCTGAGAGAAAAGGTATACTCTGCACTACTCAGAGGTATAGTATGTGCAACATTTCTTGTAATAAAGCTTTGGCATTTCAATGAGGTGGAAAAAGAAGAGTGGCAAATGTCTACAATTTAGGCCTATTGTCTCCTGACAAACTGAAATTTCACAATACTGCAAATTTAAAACACAAATGTACCTCCTTCGCATTCAGGACTCTCCTTGACAGTAAATTCAGCTCAACAAAAAAGTAAAACGGGGGGAAGGATGGGACAACATATACTGAAAACTATCCAGTTCTTTCTGTTAAATGTGAAGCATAACAGGCTTTTTTATTACATGCCTTCCTCCAAAAATAGCAATGATTACACTGCTCAACTCCCACACTCCCCTCCTCAGCTTGGCTTTTTTATGCTTCGAACATTATACATTCTCAGTCCTGAGGAAGAAGCCAAAGTTTGTGGAGTCCAGAGGACTCTTTCCATCACCCAGTACCCAAACTACAGAATATGAATACCTAGGGAGGCAGGCAACTCTTAGTTTCTTATAACACCAAATCTTCTTTTAAAGCCAAAAGTGACAGATTTTTTTTATGAACTCTAAAACCCACAGCTTTCCACATTTTTGGAAAGATGCTGCAAGTCGCAGCAGTGATAATCTGCCAATTACAAGGCACATTTGTGAGCAAGACTTTTTTTGTCTTCCAGACAAACACAAAGATTATACAGCCTATTCTCTTCATGAGGATGAGGCAGGGGAAATGTTAAGATTGCAGTTGCTGCAGCAGTGGAAGCTGCAACTGCTTTGGAGCTTGTACCGACTGTGTAGCCAACATGCCATTGAGGGATGCTGAGGATGATGTACTACACTGTTCCATTTTGGGTTTTTTTCCTGAATGGGAAAAACCTGAAGCTTTGGCCTGCTGTAGTTAACGGAAAGTCTTGCAAACCTACTTGCAATGTTCCACCCAAGTTCCAATACAGCTCCATATCCTGCCCATCAGAACTTCCTAAGTAACTACTTAAGATAGTATTCTTGAATAATAAAGCTTTCTTCATGCCTTCTATGACATTTAGTTTGGGGATTTATCACATTCCTATTGCCCAATCTTAGTTTATTTTATATATAAAACAGTACACATAGTGAAGGTAAGCTGGAATCACAACCATTTCAAGTGGCCAACATCTGTAAGGAATTTATATTTATAAAATATGGCTGGGTTTTTTAACAGAAAATATAACGTCTTATAACAGTGATCTACATTTCACTAAACCCAAGAAAGAATGTGTCAATACTTTAGGGTAAGATATACTGTACAATAGCTCAGCTTTCTTCATTATTATCTGAAGAATCATGTCTGGCTGATGTATTTATTTTGTAATGTTTAACTATAATAGAAAATAGATGAAGTTTAAATGAAAACACTGTTTAGACTATGTCAACAGAGCATAAAACTAAATGAAGTGATTCTGTATTGAGTATAAAAACATATTTGATAATAGTAAAGTTACTAATGGTTATCTATCAAGATCACAACATGAAGTAATTCTGCATCTTCAGAACTGTGTTAAAGCAGTGGACACATGAAGTTAGATGTAATTTTGTGATTTTGCAAAACAGCATCACGCAGTGCACTTTATTGCTATTTTATCATTAGTGTAAATAATTCAACAAACCCAGGAAATCTCCAGCTCGCTTGTTTTTTTTTAAATTGCAAGTCACCAAAGGGCTTTCCACTAAGACAGCCAATGCTCACTTTACACTTGCTAGCAAAAGAAAATCAAATATAACACTATCTTGTATACTGAAACAACTGCTTTGTTATAAAGAGAAGGCTTCAGAAAACTAGAAAAAAATGACACTGCTGTAAAAACTGCAAGCCTTTTACACTCAGTTCAAAGACATGCATTCTTCTACAACAGACTGAAGTTTTATATTCATCTCAGCAATCAGTCCACTAATAGGCATCAGTCATCAACACTGAAGTAAAACCTGCCATATGAAACTGCTTTGATGTGATTGAAGACTCACACACAGTCATAAGTATGACAGAACAGCTTAGCTATTAAAATGTTTTATCTAGCAAAAAACTGTTGATCCTAATTGACTGAAATACTCCTTGAACAGTATTACTGCAAGGCTACTTCACTACGTAGAGTTTCAGTATGTAGCCACTTGACTTATATATATCTTGAGATCCAGCACAACCACATCAAATCTTGTTAGACTATTTTCTCACACATACTTTTGTCACGAGACCAAAACAATAAAGCTGACTGTCATTTTTACTACCAGTTGCTTAGTTAATTCGATACTGAAACATACTGGGATTCATTACAAAAGCTGCATGCAAACAGCTATTTCTTTTTCCTGCACTAACAGAACGAAATCTACTAACCACATCAGTTGAAATGGGTTGGCGGGACTGGGTGGAAGCTATTTTTCTCCACCAAGCCCAACCTCCCACCACAAGAAGTGCAGGGGCAGGGGCTCCTTTAAGCAGCACTGTGCAGCCCTGGCCCAGCTCCAACACTGACCGTATGTCAAGCTGACGGATAAGAAGCCCGAGACAGCCATCTGAAAACAACTGCATACAGCCCCTGCCACCAGACAGCGAGGGTTTCTAGGTGCACCTCATCATTCACTGCAAAGCCAATTTTAAACAGACCAAAAGTAAATGTACCTGACCAAGAAAAACCCACCAAAACCAAACCAAACCAACACATCGACATTATTAGAAAGTCTATATGATTAGATACTCTATTTCAGGAAGTTTATACCCAACATCATAATTGATCACCACAAACACAGAAAATTAATCATAGTTTGTGCCTATAACATATTCTTTTCTCCTTTATATTCACAGTGTTTTAACAAATTGCAAGAAAAAGGAATCAAACATACCAAGCAACCTCCACGAAGATTACATTTTACAGAATCAAACAAAATGCTATCAATTTAATGCCTCAAATGAAGGGTCATTTGATTTTTGCCCTGTATATATTCATGCATCACAGAGTTCACCCATTTTTACCATTACTTAGGTTACTGGGAAGTATGTCATACGTTGCCTACATGTCCTTACATGTAGGCAACATATTATCTATCAGTTTTTATTCCAAAATTACTAAGTAATCAGCACAAAGGAATAGCTAAAATTTACTCCAGTCCCCTATGCAATTTCCATAATTCCATATATTTCATTTCCATATTCCAAATTAGTAAAATCCAGGTGAACTTACCTACAGTTTGGAGGAGGGTCTAATGTAATTTCTGCAAGTTCCTTCTGAATTCTTAAGAGAAAAAAAAAATATTATCAGGACTTTTTTGCAATCTGTTTCTTTCAACTTTATGAACATTTCTACAGCAATCAATAGGAACAAAATATAATTCTTAAAATTTCTGATGAAAAGCTGATGCTAAAAGGTTTCATGAAACTGCACAAGAACATGTGGAAGCAAACGTTAAATCTTTTCTGAGAAATGAATTTCCAATATGGGACAAATGCCATGAGCAGCCACCTAGAAAATCACACTTTTTCTATAGGTCAGGGTTCTCAGGTCCTTTGCTCACTTACACAATTACTAAATGTCTCATGTATCCTCTTTCTCTATTTCTCCTCTGCCTGTATGTCTTATAAGCTCTTGCACTCTAGAATATTTAGCTTCTTAATGTATATCGTACTAGCAGGGTAAAACCTCCCAACTTCCAAGAATAATTGTCTCTCACCCTCCCAAAATGAGCCCATGCTGGTCTTCTTCATAACCTCCTCCTAGGTACTGTGGGTCTGCTATCAGGCTCCCCCAATGTGAGGTGGTCCAGCTCCCTGGCTAACTTGGGGTTGTACTGCTGGACTTGCTCTGGTATGTGCCTTCTTTTTACTGGGGGATCAAAATCAAGTAAATGTTATCCCAGGTACGGTCTAATGAGAGCTGAGTAACGGGAGATAAATCTCTTCCATCTGCCTATGGACTATGCATCCCAGGAGGGATACATCCCAGGAGGCAGTCAGCTTTTGTTGCTGCCTCACACTAAGCTTGTTTTCTGCCAGGGTCCCCATCTCCTTCTCAGTAGAGATGGTCCCCAGTATGTATCATTACAAGGGGTGAGACCTCATTTCATGAGTTCTCTGTCAACCCTCTCCTGCAGCCTGGCGAGATCCCTCTGAGCCACAGCATTGCTCCTGCATGTACCAAGTGCTCCCCCCCCCAGCTTGCTGTAGTCTGAAAACTTTAGAGTGAACTCTGCCATATCCTTCAGGTCACCAATAAAGACATTACAGGCATCCTGCCAGAGTTCTTCCTGCAGGGAGAGCAACTTCATTGTTAAGGATTTCTGGATATTCCCAGGCTGATGCTTCCAAGCCAAGTCCATGAATGCCTGATCTCTGCCACAGCTGGCAACAGGGGCTCTTTTCCCTTACACCAGCATCTGCATGAGAGCCAGTATCTTGACCTTTGAAGAAATTTAATTATACAGAGTGGGAGTCTACAGAGTTCCCAAAGGAACTTGTAGGAGTTTTCAGTTCCCAAAGTATGATGCCATAAGCAAGACTGTAATGGTCACCTTACCTATAAACTATGCCCAAGGCTTTTTTTATAGGTTACTTCAATGCAAAAACATGAACATTTAGAAGCAGGAAGAAAAAGTAAAACAATTCAAGATACCCTGAGTATTTTCTTCTTGCCTTCTCCTTCACAAGATTTCATGTACAGCAGCAAATTGTTATTCCTGTTATTCCCTATGCTAAGAAAGAAAACCTGCACAATAACACCACGCAAATTCCTGAAATACATGCCGAAGCCATAAGCCAAAAGTTCAGGCCTGACTTACACATACCTTGTTAAAAATGATTGCTACCCATTTTGCATATAAATACAGGCAAAGAAAATGGCTTATCAAAATAAGCATTCAGGTATATTGGCATATATAACATAAAAATGAGCAGTTTAATTCTCTATATAACTTTAAGATCCAAACACAATCTTACATGTTAAGGAGTCTCACAGCCACTATCAAAATTCCCCTTATGCTACTATAAGTTGATTTTACAGCTACAGTGAATAAATGAACCAATGGCAGTAGAAGAATTGGCCTGAACCAGAAACTCCAGCCTTTATCTTTCATATTCTAAAATAATTAGGACATACGTGGGCAAGATTTGTAGGCAGAGGTAATAATCACTTATTAGATCAGATTATATAATCGCAAAGATAAAAACACTCTTCCAGATGCTTAGATTTTCTTCTAACTTTTATCCACCCCAACCCTACACACACACACAGTTACTTCAGTTGAGGGGGAGCAATTTGATCTTTTACTTGCTTTTTCTACTCATTGAAATATTTATATCTCCAGTACATAGAATTTCCCCAATAAATATCATACCTTTCCTATAAAAATACAGGCACAGATTGCTTAATCAAGCACCAAATCATTGTAGTAACACTGAAAATACACCACATTTTTTAATTAGTGAAGTTTAAGCACAACAAACATGTTGTTTTAAAAAACTTATTCCAGTTAAACAATCCTAACAATTCACACCTTTTAGAAGGGAGATTTTATAACTGTGGGAGATGCTTAAAATATTTCTTCTGTATACAACAAACTTCTGCCATGATTTTGAAATTACACTATCGCAAATTCAAACCACAGAAAATCTAGGTAACATAGATTCTTCAATTTCACGTTTTATGGGTTGTTCTGTTTTTTCAGCCTTTTGTGAAGTTACAGAATGATGGCATTGCACTTTTATAGTCAGAGATCATTCCTTTACTTTACATATAGTAGTAAGAACAGTTAATATTTCATTGCATTACAATGAGTCTGAGACACGTCAAGAATGGATTGACAACTTCAACAACCTCAGTCCTAGATCAAAAACTTTATATTCTTCTTCCTAAAGCCTAACCCATGTTCCTTATATTCTGAAAACAAAAGAGTCTCTCATTTTTTCCATCTGTTGTAGTTCAACCCAAAATTTCTAACTTCTAATTTCACAAGTGCTAAAATGGCCCTTTATCAAGCTTTTCTGTGATTGAGCAAACAAGGACAAAACACCTTTCTGCTTCCAGCCATAAAAATTGATCAGATGGCACTGCATATTAATGTTCAAAAGTCCTAACTGCTCTTGCAAGCATCTAAGAGATGCTTCATTCATCATTATTTTTATACAAACAAGATACAACACATTAATACAATACTGTCCATCTTTTGCTCCTCAGCAAGTTGTCCATGTTTATTCTCCTACTCTGTGGTGTCCCAAACTAATTTATACACCTTACAACCCTTTGCTGCAACCTTAATTTACCTTGCATTCATGCTGAGAGCTTATTCATAAACAGTTTCTGTAGAGCAGCTGACATGCAATATCTTGTTCACATGTCACAGCATTCAAAGTTACAATTAAATTGTCGGACAGCATCCCAGAGAGCCTTGCACTGATAGAGACCTCCAATGTGCAAGCTGGCCTTTGTCTGCACATGCTCTGGCACTTGCTTCATATCTCCATTGAGTTGCCCTCAGAATCTGCCATAGGAGAGGATGTACCTCATTTCCTTCACTGACCACAGAGAATTTGCTGTGAGGATATGTGGCCTCTGGTAACAAAACATTTTTTTCAGAGTCCTTGCTGGATTTTTTGCCTCAATAAGAGTTATGTTTAACTATGTCAGAGTGAAAAAGAACTCTAAATTGAAATAATTATATCTATTCAGTTTATATTTAAACTAATGACATAATGGTTTAGGGAAGTATTGGGAAGTAGGGTCATGGCAGGGGGTGAAGCCTCGGCTAATAATCAATGCCCTGGGCTGCACACATAGGACATTTAATTTGCAGTGTCAGATCTGATATTCTTTGTTTGGTCTTAGAGAAGTCCTTTGACTTCTCTCTCTCATATATACATACATCTATACATACACACACATAAAAAAAATATTTTTCCCCTCCATTTTACTATCAGAAGAGAAGAAACATAGTTGCCTTCCAGCACAAGTGCAACCGTTAATCTACCCATAAATTCAGAAGCATGAAAGTACATTTTGGATTTCAAATATTATTAATTCTCACAGACACATATTTACTACTGTTCCAAGACTAAGGGGACTGCGGTTGTTTCCTTCATGAAACAGTTAAAAGTTCTCTAAAGCTAAGAGAAGTGAAAACCAGAGGATTTCCCAGTGTGATTAACTGGAAAAGAAATAAAGGATTATATGAAAATAAGTGATTTTTACCACATCTACTTTTCTAAAATACATGCCTATTTACCCATAAAAGCCAGCTGATTCAATACCTTATACCAAAGAATATGCTACTTAGAAAATACTTAGAAAAGCAGACACTGGTACATATTTCACTACTAAATAAACTGTGACTGAGCAGGAAATTGATCTAAAGATGGTTAGCTTCATACTGGAGGAAAAGAAATATTCTCACCCACATACTAAAAGATGGATAAATGACAAGGATATTTCTTGTAAGAAAAAGCAGTCTGTATTTTGCTGTCATATTCAGCATTCTAAATACCATTCCTAGATTCCTTGAAAATAGTGCTGTGATAAACTCCTCAGAGAAAAAAAAAAAAAGGGGGGAAGGGAAGGGAAGGGAAGGGAAGGGGAAAAAAGGCTCATTTTTACTTTGTTGAATTTTGAACAAATTTAATCTATTACTGATTTGCTACTCCTTAAGGTTGTAACTTCTTTCAATAAGGAAAAGATTGCAACTAAAGTTTTACAGTTCACAATTTATTGTAGGCACAGATATTTATTAAAAAATGTCAGGACTGGACACAAAGGTTGACAGATTTTCAACCAGCAACTTCAGGAGCCAAGCAAAACAATACATTTATTTGTTGAGCTACGTCAGCCAAGAATGGTTACACTTCTCTCAATCCAAAGGTCATGCTAAGATTTGCTACTTAAGAGGTAACAAGATGCCTGCTGTTTTCAAGGACAGCAATTCAATTCCGTGTCTAAACTGTAATTGTGATATGCAACGAGTTTCTCAATCTTGACATGTTAGGTAAGAAAGGTTGCTATTTAAGGTGATGCCCTCTGGGTGAGGAAAATTGAAGGACCAGTACACTGCATGACATATGCTGTAAGCTATTACACCTGTATATCAGCTACTCCTAAAAGTATTAACAGAGAAGCACAGCATGTGATGGCATTCTGCATTCTTGATGCCAGTTATAGCAATGCTAACAGAAGAAACTCCATATCTTGAAACCAAAAATCTTACTCAAATAGAAATTTGAGCGGTTTCATATAGCCTCTGTAATCAGATCACTTTGGAAAGCAGTTATGCTGCACGAACAGTATATTCATACATAAGACATGGTAGCGATTTACGATTACACAAGCAAAAGTCAGCACACTGCTAGACCTTGATTTCTATAAAACCTAATGCTACTGAAAATTCTGTAAATCTGACTACATAAAACTACAAATAAAAAGCAGAACAAAAATTTTTCCAAACAGAGATGCACAAATTTTCATTCTAAATCAATATATACAAGAGGTATCATAAGGCAATCCAAAACCACTGTGACTACAATTCCATATGCATGAAAAAGCTTACCAAGTAAGAAAACGTGATTTCCAAACTCAGGTTAGAATCAAGTCTGTAGTCTGTGACTTTAGATCCAGTGCTACATTAACTCACTGGTGTTCTATGCTTTAAACAGGAATTAAGGAATCTTGACCAAAGCCACAATTGACTACACTCTGTTGTTTGAGTGTTTTACTGATTTCAGCAGAGTTGACTCCTTTAACTGAAGGTAACAGAGTACAGCCTTTTTAATCCTGCACTACTTTTCACTTCTAACGAACAAAATTAACAATATTACTGTGAAGATATTTTATACAGACAGTTTCTGTAATACTTATCACATATTGAGGACTCTAAGAAATTTTTCCTTCCTCCATGATACTCCACTCCTTTTTATCCTCTGCTTTAAATCCTGATTTACCTTTCTTGAGACACTACTGATTTTAATTAAAAAGCAAAGAAACAAAACCTGTAATACAAAAACCTGGCTGAATGAAGAAAGTACAATCCCAAATCTAACACAAACAACTGAATACTTAAAAACAAAAAAGATTATACTGTTAAAAAACCCTGTTACTAGAAAAACTATGTTGTTGTGATCCTTCCAGAAAGTGCTATGACAACCAGCACAAATAAAATATATTTTTTTCGAAATATTATTTATTGTGTACGTACCTAAAGAGCTATTGTAGGTCATGTCAGCTTTTAACATGTATACTTAAATGTATATTTTTAAAATATATTAGTATTAGAATGCACATGAAACTGGCTTTAGAGTCTAACTAGCAAACGCACTGATGTCAGCAACTGGCATAATTAGTTTCAGCAGAACCATAAGCAGATGTGATTAAACTTTAAAAGGTTTAAGTAATTTTATCACTGTAAAATGCATGTTGATAAAAGCTCTAAGCTTTGAAGATACAAAGCTAAGATTAATAGACCAATTTCTGACATATCATTATTAATTTTTTAATAGGATAGCGTCCACAAGCTCTTGTCAGAATCGCGGCATCGGCATCATTACACCAGACATTGTACAAAGTTCAGAATACACAGACTGCTTTCTAAAGACACTGAAAACTATCTTTTATGACCTTAAAAGTCATCACTAATCCAATAATTCTAATATTTAAAAAATAATAATAGCAGGAAGCAGACAAAAGAGAACAAGGTCAGAAACCATACGGGCTGGATTAACTACATGAGTAACACCATGGTTTGCAGTGAAAGCTGAGTGGGTGTTTTGGGTTTTTTTCCTTTTAGTCACAAAAGGAAACATGGGCAACTTTTGCTGGCCCTTCTGTAAGTGGTATGATCAGTGATATGATTCCTAATAGTGTCTTAGTAGGAATGGGAGTCAAGAAAGCATTTCTACAGAGAAGAAAAAAACGAAAAAAAGGCTAGCTGTAAGGAAGGTTATCTATAGCAGAAAAAAAGCATGACGATACTCCACTGGAAAGACAGAAGATACTTCAGTCCAGAAAAGTATGTTATAGAAAAGGGACATATTAAGGCAAGACAAAGACTTGAATCCTGAAGGGATGTACACACGTTTATATACTGGTGTTTATGGACTGTGACTACATGCATATGTTATAAATTATGGCAATAGGGGCTCAATGCTTCTCCTTTACCACAGCACCACAGTGGTATAATTCCAATGTTTTTTCTTGTAGTTTATACAGCCTTGGATTAGCAAAGAAACAAGATCTGGGAATTCTGCATCAGGACAGTCTGCAGAATTGGTCTCTTGTCAGATTATTTTATGAGTGCTTTTTTACTTCAATCACTATAATCCCATTTGCCTAGACTAACAACCCTGTGTGTACTAAGGAAGCTACACTAAGCTGTAAATTCCTTCTGTCTGGTCCAAGCAATACAACCGTTATCTGAAGATGGACATGATAACATAGAATAATTTAAATAGCTATTCTACAAACCAACCTTTCCTCTCAAGCAGAAAAGGGAAGGAAAATAAATGGGTAATGAAACAGATCAGAGTTTAGTAATGAAACCAACATGCATTTGTTGTTCACTCAGATATTTCTGACCTGACCATCTGGGAAAAGAAAATGCAGTACTTCACAACAATAGGTATTACAGTAGTCCTAACATGCTGAGTTACTGAACTGTCTGATATGTTTATGGTTAATTAACTGTAAGTTACACTGACAAGTTTCAACATCAGTCATACATACACATACAGAGATATATTTTATAAGGCTACAAAACTGTCTGAGTTTTACTAGCAATAAAAAATTGTCAGCTTTTATCATGCAAGCGACTATTAAAACCATGTGAAAGAGTCAATCTCTCAAAAAAAGGAAAAAGTATACAGGTCTCATTATTGTGACCAGTCTCAAGAGAATATTACACTAATACAGCAGTGTTATAATAAAATCATCAGAAAATTAATATACTGAGTCAATACATACATCTGATGCTCAGCTGAAAAAAAGAGAAATTAAAATAAAACCCAAAAAGAACATTGTACCTTTTAGCACTAGTTGACAGTTTAGCAGCTGTTTTGCTTGATATTTTGCCCTCTTTTTTCTTGGGCTGAACTTGCTCCCTTTCTTGTTCCTGCTGAACACCTTCACGCTGATCTCCATCAGAGCTGCCTCCACTAGTGCTTGGACTATCATCCACTCTCTGCCCCTCTGTAGACATGGCAGATGCTGCACTGAACAAAAACAAACAACAGAAGTTAGCTTTTTGAGAAGAAACTGCCCGGCAGTATTTCTTACATGCCTTAAGGAAAGAACACATAATGTCTTTGTCTTAATATGTAACACTTGTGTTACAGTACTTCAGTAATCTTAGCACTGAAGAGTTTTGCCAGAAGCATCTTGACAATAATTCAGGAGCTGGTCATTTAAAACCCTATGCCAAAAAACCCCACAAACTCCAAACAACAACAACTACCACCTCCAAAAAAAGCCCACCTTTTCTATATAGATATATATATAAGCCCACCTATATATATATATATATATACACACACAAGCCCACCTATATATACATATATATATATATATATATATATATGATAAAAGCAGAAGTTATCGAAGTGGGAAACATAATCCAGCAAGTGTAATACCATTCACTGTGAATTATATTTTTCAACCACTCAGCAACACCATGCACTAGCTATCTCATCACTATGCCACCGGTTCAAATATAGCATAGTTTGTTAAGAACTGAGAGTTATTACTGTATTAACACTCTCTGTTATCCCATATGAAACAAATCTGTGGGCTCATTCCAAGTCTTTACTGTGGGTTTCCACATTACAAAATCTACATCTTGGCATGCTCGATGGAAACAGTCACAGAACCAAAAAGCACTAACACAGGACTGTTTATATTTACTGAAACGGTACACTTCTAGAGCGGTAAGCACACTGGTAGAGGACATAAGGAAGCTTTTTCCTGACAAATTTCATTCAGGCAATATGAAGCAACAAAGCTGTCAGAGAACACAAGAAGCAAGAAATCTCAGTATATTTCAGAAGTCAAGTTAACACTTTATTTGCACACTTCTGATACTAGTTAGCTATTTTAATTTCTTCCTTCATTTTAAATAGTACAACAATATGCCGACAGATGAGGAATTACAAGCCCACTGTTACAGCTGTCATGACTTCTCAAACTGTTCTAATGAAGGGCAGATGTCCATGAAAAACCCTTACTGAATTAGCATATGTGGTGGCACTGATTGATTTTTTAAAAAACAAACAAACAAACAAACAAGCAAAAAAAGCAAAACAAAACATAAACCAAAAACCAAACTGAAACCCAGGTCTTTCCTTTAATTCCCAATCTGTACCTTATATGCCTACTTTATATATCCTCCTCTAAAGATTTTAATAAAAGAACCATCTTCAAAGCACATAGGCCCAAACATTACTTGCTTACACCCACACAATCTCCATATATCTGGGTGATTTTCTGATCAAATCTGTCTGAATCAAAGAATTTGTTCTTTCATACACGAAGAGTTTTAAATTGCTGCGAACTTTGACTTGCTTTTCCTCTTACCTATGTGCAGACACTATCACAATTAAGAGCAAAACTATTCACCTTAACTGTTATATGTTTTAAGACTCACTCAAGGGAGAATAATGATATTTCGGGCTCAGATTCAACCTTCCTCATTCCATGGATTAAATAAAGTTCATCTCCCTGTATATATTTATGGAAAGAGACAGTAAAGTAAAAGTAAAGTAACATCAATGCCAACAGGGTTATGTTGAAAGGATGCTTTTTAAAAGAGGTTGTAAGTGTTGTAGTTACAGCTGCATGTAAGAAAATAAATTTACTCCTATTCTGAAAAACCCTTACCAAGATCTAATTCTATCAAATAGTATACACTGTGGAGTGGAAGAAATAATCTCTTCAAGCATTATTGACACATGCAGTTAACTTCAGGAGGAATTAGGTCTTTTTTATCTAATTTGTAAAGCTATACTGAACAAAAATTCTGGAAGTATGGCATCCCTTCAAAATATTTATGCACCAAAAGAAATAGCAAGCAATACCAAGTGATGGATATGGGACTAAGGTTTCCCTTAATCAGCTTAAACTACATATTGGATTTTATCATAGAAAATAATATTTTCATATATAAATTTATATAAATACACAACACTTAGCCTGCTCATTGAAGTAACCAAAATAATGCATAGTTTTCACCCTAAAATTAAAATACAAAAACTGTTCATTCCTAGAGAACAATGTTTCCTATGGTACAGATACATTATATTTAACATAATTTGTATATTCACAGGGTGATGTTCAGATATTTAAATCCTAGTTGGCAGATTTTAAGATAAAAGCAACAGAAGACTTAGAGGTAATAAACTACAAAAATATTAAATGCATACTTTGACTTGTCAGAATATGATAACTATAACGCAATTTTGATAGTAAGTACGCATTTTCTTTGCTTCTACATGCAGTTAAAATACAACCTCATTTCTCTTTATAACACTTGTGATGGCCTTTATTTGCTCTAGATTTTAGTTCTGAACTTTGCTTAGTAAACCTCATTTTAAAAAGAAAAATTCTCTCTTCACAATGTACATAGGCTTTAACACTGCAGGCCGGAAAGTTAAAAGCATATTTAGTAATGCTTATACGCATAGGACATCTGCTGTGAATAATCTTAGCTATAAATATTACTATTATCCAAAAAACAACTCTATTCACTTCATAAGTTCAGGTTACTATCCAGCAGACAAATACTAACAGTAGCCCAGAGCATATAATTACTGTAACATGTAATGCCAGCATTTACAACAGCAAAATGCTTCAATCTGTCATTTGATGTCTGGCTAGTTTCTTGGGGTTTTTTTGTTTTGGTTATTTTTTTATCTCTCCCTTCTCCTTCTCTCTCTGTTCCCCTTTCTGACAGTCAGGCAATTCTTTCTATGCCATCTGCTCACAATATCTGCAATTTTAGGAATTTTTGCATAGTTCAAGGGATGCTTAATATTCTGGTAAAAGTGAGTGTTAAAGGGCCTGAAGTTAGACACTTCAAATAGGGTTAAACTTAAAGAGAGCCAAACACATGAACAAACAACTAGGGGAAAAAAAATCAACTGAGGGGATGACACTGTGAAGAAAATATTTCACTGCCACTAACACAGACAGAAATACAAGATACTCCTTGAATCTGAACAGCCATGAGTGTGTTTGCAACTGTCACACAGAGCAAGAGGGAAGACACGCGATGTCCAGGTCCCCGGCTGCCAGGCTATTCTATATTCAGGCGAGGGTTGCTAACCTCCCTGCTGTTGTGCAGAGAAAAATGAGCAGAGGGGACAGGGAAAGGAGTGAAAAGGGACTTAAAAGTCTCTCCCTTAACGTGAGATGAATCAGCAGAGAGACAGATTACAAGTGTAACTACAACTATCAATTCGAAGTGAAGAGTCCAAAAGGTTTTGCTTTTGTCAAATATATCTACTAGCACCTTCCTCTTCTTCCTCAGAACAAAACAAAAAAACCCAAAACAAACAAAAACAAACAAAAAATATATAGAGTCACAAAAACCCAACACCAACCACCGTCACACTCTCCCCCCCCCCAAAAAAAATCCCGTAGTTAGGGACAGCAAGGTCCTGGCAACGTGCAGATCGGTCCCCAAGGGCGGCAGAGCTAGTGATGATGTCCTTTTAAAGCGGTCTTAATTTTCTTTAAGCCAAGATAAATTGAATATTTCTGCAGGGTCCACAACGAGCAGCAACGGCAGCAGCCGCCTTACTTCATCTTCATTAGAAAGCGTAAAGGGCAAAAGGACCACAACATCGCAGCAAGGGAGGCAGAAGGCACCCGGTTTGTGGCCGGGCAGGGTCCGCCACTGAGAGAGGAACCTGGACGGAAAGGACGAGAGGCCCCGGCTCCCACGGCCCCCAGCCGCCCGGAGGCAGAAGCGTGGCTCGCCCGTCGGGAAGACCCAGCCGTGCGGGAGCTGGTGGTGGGCATGGGCATCCCCAGAAACACACACACCCCGCACCCCCACAGCCGGGCGGGAGGCGGCCGGGCCAGGGTGAGAAGTAGGAGACAACCGAGAAGAGGAGGAGGAGGAGACTGCGAGAGGA